TATATATATATATATAATTTTTTTTTTGGTTGTTGTATTTTCATTATTGAGATGCTAGGCCAAACATATTTGTGTTGGAATGAAGATAAAACATTTTGTTTTATCGTTTTAATTTAAAGATTGTTTAATTGATTTGTGTTATTGACTGTTATTGCACGCATATTGAGTATTATCATCGTTTAAATAATATGTTACTTATTTTATTTATGTGAGATTTGGAATAGGTCTCAAATGCATTGTTCTAACATAGTTGAACACCCTAGAAAAGAAATATATTCATCATTTCAATCATCATAAAAATATAACAAAGTATAAAACACACCCTAAACTATTTGCACGAAAATCTTTTTCATCATGTTAAAAAAAAATGATCATATTCTTTGTAATCATACGAAACACAAAATTTAAAATATTGAAATGCGTATATGTACATCCTTGATTAAACAAGGTCAAATTGTGTCTGTTTCCACCATAACAATCAGAATTAGCTATTTCATCATATGTTAAATATTAAATATAACTCAACGATATTGAATATATCAAATAAGTAAATAGAAAAATTAAAAGTAATAATGAGGAAAAAAGAAAACGCAATTCCCACAAACGGATATAATGATAGGATCTACGTAGTTGAAAATGATTTAAGAAAAAATATAATTTACAAAATGGGTACCATACAAGTTTTTTCATTAAAAAAGTTTTGTTTCAATTATGAAAAGTTAACAAAAGTTGCGAGTTCCCTTGAAATGTATAATAGAAAATGAATTTAAGAAAAAATGAATATTAAAAAAATGGGACTAAGCAAATTTTTTTTATTTCATAGACTTTTTCCTTTTTTCTATCATAATATCCATTTCTTTTTCATTCAACTTTCCATCATGTAAAATCTGTCGTATTTTTAACACTAAGCAGAAGGTAATGAGGTATGAATGACATCACAGTGTCGTCTCTCTAGGACAAAAACTATGTTTTAAGCTTAATCTTTGGTGTCTGTTTCAAAAAGTCAACACCTATGGATTGTTTAAATTAAAGAGTTAGGCTAACACCTTCCATTACAGCTGTTAGTGCCCCATATATTTTTAAAATTTTTACATATTATTCTGAAGTTTTAACTATATATTATTTAACAATTATTTAAATAATATAATTAATTTAGTATTTGTGTTCCAGCAAGACTCAAATTATAAATGTAAATAGGTTCACGACTATCTCATATTTATCTCGAATATTATACAAAGTAAAGAAATGAATTCATGTTTAATTATGACTTTTACACGAGAGCACTTTCCATATTATTTTGTGCATAGCGAAAATTAATGAAAGTTGAAATTAAAACTTACGCTGATGATGCAAATTCTTGTCAATTTATTGAATATGTTTGACAAACTCCAACAAGATTAAATGTGGGCAACCTAATTTTTTAAAGCTAGAGCAAAAGTTTGATTTGGATTATCCTAGTGAAATATATTTATTTGTCATAATTGAAATGAGAACCCGTCCAAGAAATTACCTGTATAAATCTTGACTAGGAAAAAATACGGAATATTATCCAAATCCAAAGTGACTTGACGGAATCGTATATTCAAATCCCAACACAATTTTGTCTCCTCTTCCAGCACAATTTTTCTTCCCATTGTTTAATATGTTAATCACTTAACGGAATCGTCCCTTGTTAACAAATAATCCCTCCAGTCTTTCCGTGCAATTTCCTTCTACCGCAAGAAACTGTCAACCCCCAGCCCACCTCTTGTTTTTCTATATATCTTCATTTTCTTAGTTACTCCTTCTCGTTTGCATTTTACAACTGAAAGCCCCAATCAGGGTCCTATTTGAAATCGCTTTCCAGAAGTTCGTCAGGAAAATTTTCTTGTTAATATTTTCTGGTTATAGGGTTAGGTGTTTTGATTAAGCAAAAATGGAAGAAGGGACTTCATCTGTTGTAAATGAAGAAGGAGATCTCATGGACTTGCCTCCAGGTTTCAGATTCCATCCAACAGATGAGGAGATTATTATTCATTATCTTATAAAGAAGGTAATGGACAGGCGATTTGCAGCTAGAGCCATTGGAGAAGCTGATCTGAATAAGTGTGAACCCTGGGATTTACCAAGTAAGCTCTTTCTCTTTCTTTTTGCTTAATGAACAATTTTCTTCTCTTCTTAAGGGATTTCTTTGTTTTCGTTTTGGCTAGTTGTATATGGAATAAGAATAAGGTGATGATTTAATACGGAACTATAAGTTTTGATTGTGACTTATTTTTGATAAACTTGAGATCGCCTACATAAATCCTTCTTTAGCCATTCCGTTGCTGTTTTGGTCCCAAAACGGAATAGTAAGCATATAAGTTATAACCGGTCAAATCTATGCATCACTGACAATAATTATTTTTAGTTGTCTACAGTACTATATTCTTCTTGATTTACTTAAAGATCAGATAGAAAAGAAAGCAAATAAATTGCATGTATTGACATTATTCACTATACATGTCTATTTATATCAGTTATTAAAGTTTTCTTGAAAAGATTTCCAAGTCACCAGCAAAAAAGGATTAACGCAGTCGACAATTGAGAACAACCTTTGCGATATTTCAATATCGATATGATTAATTGTGCAGAGAAGGCAAAGATGGGGGAGGAAGTATGGTACTTCTTTTGCCAGAGGGATAGGAAATATCCAACAGGAATGCGAACAAATCGAGCAACAGAATCTGGATACTGGAAGGCAACTGGAAAAGATAAGGAAATACACTACAAGCAGCGAAGGAACTGTCTTGTTGGGATGAAAAAGACTCTTGTTTTCTACAAAGGGAGAGCTCCTAAAGGAGAGAAATCTAATTGGGTTATGCATGAATATCGACTTGAAGGCAATTTTTCCCAATACAACTTTTCTAGGGCTGCAAAGGTAGTTGATTACTTCCCTTAATTTACCCTTTTTATTTCACCTTTTCTATTGCTCGAGTATTCTGAAAGATAGATTGAACAACGTTGGATTGTATGAAAATCATTGTTTAGTCATGTCTGTTAAACATGAATTTCTTCTTCTGCCATTCTCGAACATAAAATGATTAAATTTTTCTTACTTTTGCCATGATTTTATTGACAGGAGGAATGGGTTATTTGTAGAGTTTTCCACAAGAGTACAGGGGTGAGGAAAATTCCAGGTGCAGAACTATCAAGGATGGACTCTTTTAACGTGGATCATTTCCTGGATAGCCCAACACTGCCGCCTTTAACCGACATTTCTTATAATCCCACTGTATACAGACCAAGCTCAAGCTTTAAACCTGATCATGAACCTAAATTCAAAGGGAAAATTTCCCCGTCGAGATTAATACAAATGCAACTTGATCAGAAAGCCTTCCTTTTGCCTTCACATAATTTGAAAAATTTCAATTCTACCTATCCTGATCCAATTCCCTATTCACACGTTAGTGTTCCTCCTAACTCAATGTTTTCCTACCAAGATGGGATTGGTTCGACTTCTAGCTATGGTCCAATCTTCCCCTTCAAAGGTGCTGAACAGGCTAATTTAAATCTTTTGATGGCACCTGATCATAGGATATCAGAACTCGAAAAGAAGTGCAAACCGGAAGGCAACAATTCTTGGATCAGTCATTCTCAAGATACCGGATTGAGTACTGATATTGCCACTGAGGGAGATATTGAAAGCAAGAAGTCATTTGAAGACCTTGATGGTCTTTCATTCAGTCCTGATATTTCAGATTTTGATTCATTGTGGAGATACTGATTTAAGTACAGAACTAATCAGCATTCTGATTATTTACTGTCCTTCTTGATTAGTGCAATCCTGTTCTTCCATTCCAGTATTTAGTCCATGGAAGAAGAGCTCATCATCGTTCAAATTGCTTTGTGCATAATAATCTATCATTTTAGGGCATTCATGTTTACATTTTCAACCGTAGATGCTAGGAAATCTCCTGATTGCTAACATTGTGGCTTGTATAAATCGTGATTGCTTCATTTTTTAGTGGTTAATTAGTTGTTCAGTATTTGATCATGTACTGATTGATGGAATTTTTATATAAGAGTTGATTGTTATAGTTACTTTTGAAACACATTTAGCTGAATTAACTGAAGATTAATGACAATTCGAGTTAATCTAACGAATTGTCTATCAGTTGGGATTTTATTAGAATCTTCGTGGAACGCTTAATTTCATTTATATATGCAGGAGATTTTTCTAAATATCATTTCGTGTTACAAAAACATATATATATTGGGTTTGAAGCTTTTATCGTATCGGAGAATGTTGGGTTGCCTTTCCATTCCTGTACCTTTTCAGTTTGTGCTCGTAACCGTTTACCATGTTTAGTATGGAAGATTTCCTAGCATTCGATGGTAATAAAAAAGGAAAAGAAATTATAGTCTAGTCTCGACTTGCCAAATATATTCGTTGGTGTTCTTCTATACATTAATTAGCTCTTAAGTACTTAGCAAATAAAAATAACTTCCTGATTTCCTGATTAAAATGCATGTACTATCACACTATTAAGAAGAGAGATGCTTTGCTTAGAGTTCAAAGTTCAAGAACTCTTAATGTCATGTTCCTTTCTTGAGAAGGGAGAGCAACCTCACATCAGAAAAACAAAAGAGCATTTCATTGTAAAATCTTGTTCAAACATGCTCATTGTGCATAGTCATCACGCAATTCGATAAATTAATAACATTTTATAAGATTCATTAATCCCAAAACACAAATTGTAATAGTGTGTGTCTAACCTTTACCTTATTAGTTTTATAAGATTTCCACTCCATAATTAAAATATGTCCATATATCAATCATTCGGGCAAAAAGTGTATATGCAGAATATTCGATTTCACCCTTTATGGATCTATAAATACCCCCCCCCCCCCGCCCCCCCCCCCCCCCTCTCTTCTTCTTCTTCTTGTTGGAATTCTTGTTCTTCTTGTGCTACTCTGCTGTTTAAGTTCTCTGCAGGAATCGGCTCCAGCAGTATAAGTTGACCTACTTTCTACAGAAATTTCAATTTTTTTCCAGAAATATACTGTCGTGTCCAGTTTTGCCAGCAACAGTGACGTAAGTCACATTCTCTCCTCACAGAGAGAGACGTAATTTTCTAGTGGCAATAAGTTTACCGTTTTCCATTCGAAGCTAAGCTTCTAGTTGGTTTAAAGCTTGCACGTAAACCAGATTATTCATCAAGCGGTGACACGAAAATAATATTCTGAATCAAGATTCCCAATCTTTCTTCACGAAACCATGGAGATTTAAGTAAGTGACACGCTAGATTTAGATGATGCATGCCTTTCCCTATTATCAGATTAATAAATTCATTCATTTATTCTTGGGAAAGTTACATTTTTGGTTCCACAAGTTACGACTATTCATATTTCGTGTTCTGCAGGTTTTTAAGTATTTTCACATTGTTACTCCTGTTCGTTTCACCTTGTACAAATTTGGTAAAATTAACTACTAGAAAAGCAGCTTTGATGATGGAGATTTTGATAAAAATACATCGTTAAGAGCAATGGATTCGTTATGAATTGGTTTTATTTTACTTTCATGAAAACATGAATTCAAAATTGATCTGCACCGACAACATCCCGTGAGTAAAAACTTTTGAGAAGTCATAGATTTGATTGCCAAAAAATTTAGTTATTGGTAATTCAGCTGCCTAAAACGCACAGGTTGGTAAAATCTGCTGTTGTAATGTGACCTAAATTCTAATGGATATTGGAGTTCTAGTTGAAGTAGTCTTGAAGAGATCAAAGTGATGGACTGAAAAGAAAGATCGCTGCATTTACGCTAGTCTACCACTAGCTGGCCACTCCAGTGACACCAACAGATTTTCAAGAGAAAATTCTCACTTGTCTAACGCTCGAGCTACGGGATTGTCGTTCGCCTATTGCTCAAGCGACGGGATTTCCCGAGTTTCTCGTTTTAACGCGTTTTGGACTTCTATTCATCTATAACTTAGTTTCTAGGGTTATAGATATATAACTTACAACTTATATTGATAACATAACATTCATACAATATCTTGAGAGCTTTAGATATTAGTTGAGAGCATTGAGATCTTGTTGAAAACACATTTGTTATTAATTATAGTGAATTTTTCCTCATCTACTTGTGGTTTTTTCTCGTCTTGGGTTTTTACATAAATTATTGTATTCTTATTTTATTCTTGTTTATTTCATTATTGTCATAATCTTCCAATCAATTGTAAACAAGTGGTATGAGAGAGAATGTTGATTATTCAGCATGCAGTGATGAATTTTGATATATCGTTATTGGATCGAAACTCGAGAATTACTTTATGACAAGTGAAGATAGAAGCAGTTCTCTCGCAGATAGATTTGGAGGAGGCCTTGCTTGGCTTTCTTAAGATACTTTCAAACTGAACGCAGGATGAAAAGCAGCGTAGGGATTAAACCCAAATTCATCTGCATCTATCAAATCAAATTCATCAAGATGTTCTCAAGGATAAGAGTGCAGCTCCATTGTGGTTGAAGTTGGAACAACTTTGTATGACAAAGAACTTAACCAGAAATCTACAGTTCAAACAGCGCTTTTACTCTAATAGGATGTCTGAAGGTGCGTCATTATATGATCACTTCACTATGTTAAAGAAAATCGTGGCCGATTTGAAGACATTGGAGATTAAGTATGTTGATGAGGACTTGGCATTGATATTGTTGTATTCACTACAGTCATCATCTATGACTTCCAGAGATATTATTCTCTAGAGTTGATATATTCTCACTGTGGAAAGAGGTCTATGATACTTTGTTATCTAATGAGAAGATGAGACATCTTGCTGGACAATCTGGGAGTCAGGTTGAAGGCTTGGTTGTTCGTGGGAGAAATCAAGACAGGAATTTTGGTAGAATTATGAGGGCCAGATCGAAATCCAAACATGTAGAAAATGTATGTCATTATTGTAAGAAGAAGAGACATATCAGGGCTTATTGCTATTATTTGATTTTCAGTAATAAGGTTGTTGGTGCTATCGAAAGAGGAAAGCAACATGTTAATTCAGCAGAGGCTGATGTTGTGAAAGATGGGCAAAATTAAGAAAGCTTCTTATGATTTCTAACATGGATTCCAAGCCTTGTGAGAAATGGGTTCTTGACTCGGCTTCTACTTTCATATGTGTCCCAACAAGGACTAATTTACAAGATATTAAAGAGTTTCAAGAGGTGCAATAATAATAAGAAACAACGCGCCTTGAAAAATTGTCGGGATTGGTACAGTCGGAATCAGAATGTTTGACGGTATTATTAGAACATTTACAGATGTCAAGCACGTTCCAGAATTTAAGCATAATCTTATATCTTTGAAGGCGAGTCGATGCGCTCTTGTTGTCATGAAAGGATAGAAAGGAAGCGATAGTTAGAGGCATGCACTGGCGTCCACTTGTCGATCCAAATGAATCATTCTTTTGGTCTCTCTTCACTCTTCGCCTCGAAACTGACCCCCGGCACAATGCCCATTCGTTATGTCCATCCCTAAGTTCCTTTCAATCCACATTGGCAAATTTAGGCTTTGGGGAGGTTTTTGGTTCTGGGGTTGGAGATGAAGTCAAATCCGAGTTGATATTATTTATGTTCCAAATCAGGCTAGCTTAAAATAAGTCATTCATTGGCGAGGAAGACTGATCTCTTTTACACAAGGTCGAGCACTGGCCGAGCGCCATGAATGAATAAGAAATTGACAGCAGATTTGTCATACTCGTAATTCACTTCTGACCCCGTGTTCGATAGCCCGACCGTAGTGATGTTAATTGTGGGATAGGGGATCACCACCAGTCAGAGTGGTCGCTCTTTGCCTTGAAAAGCGCAGCATTTCCCTGGTAAGAAAATGGGCTACTTTGAGGTCGGCTTAGAGAAAGAGAAGAAATCGTTCTTTCTTTTCTTCTTCCAGATTCTAGGTGGTTCACTTGTATACCCCTATTCTTAGAGTTCACGCTCTGATCTAGCCTTTCATCCTGCCTACTTACTTGAATGCCTTGGGGGAAAAGCACTAATAAGAGTACCAGATCTAGCTCAAGATCTCCATTAAGTCGTACGATATATCGATCTGGAGAACTTACTTTCAGTTGTAGGTCTGTCTCTATTGACATAGATAGGGGTAGTGTCCTGAGCGCATGACATCTGCTCGAAGTGGTCTTTTAGCCGAAAGAAAAAAAATGAAAAAGGATGCTTGCTTTGGTACCTTTAGTCTAATCTTAGATTATCAGAGATATCTTTATAGTGATTGCTGGTGAAAGGTAGGGCTTTCTATTTGCACTGGCTAAGCTCTTTCTATTGAAGAGCGATTGAATCCAATATTTTGACTCAATATGCTTAAAGAGGAAAGAAGTATCGTGTCTCCCAACCAATTCAAGACAGCAACTAATAGAGCAAACTAAAAATCAGGTACGGAAGGAAGTGAAGGTGAAGCAGGCTTATTTAGATTCTTTATGTCTTTATTTTGAATTACCAATGGAGAATCTTTCTAACTTTCTCCCGCTCCTCAAAAACCCACAGGAACAGAAGAAGTACTAGACAGGTTGGAGTTCTTACCTTCTTGGGACTCTATGGACCTAAAGGGGTTTTCGAGCGTTGCGGTAGTGAGCCGTAGGAACAACTTCGTAAATATATCTTCGAGATAGAAATGGAAAGGATCCAATTTGAGCAAGTTTCCAATTCAAAAGCCCATGGGTATTTGAACCCGGGTATCCAGGAAAAAGAGCTATAGACGCTTGCGGTCCGGATCCATGTGATGATGTCTCTCAACTGAAGGCTGTTAAAGTGAGTTGAGAGATGCTAGGGCTCGATCCCAGTAGTAAACAACTACAGGAAGTATTATCCGGACTGGACTGCTCAAGGTGTTACCTGCTTGAATTGCTTCAATAACAACCAGATGGGGCGCCAACCGAAGCAGAAAGCGAAGCTTCTCTATGGGGTCCTATCGGGATAGATAGGCCCAAGCCTTTCCCCTCCCTCTAGAATCCCGGGGGGGAAAACACCTAGAATTCAATCACATTGGTATCCACAATGGACTGGACTGCTCAAGGTGTTACCTGCTTGAATTGCTTCAA